AAGAATACCAATCGATCCATTGGGAAAAGGAAAACCTTTTAAGCAAATCATACTGTAAAAACTGAGTATCCACCTACAGAAAGATGAAGCTGAATCCCCATCTTTCACCATTAGCAAAAATCATCTCAAAATGGATCAAAGATTTAAACCTCAGGCCTCAAACTATAAAACTACTGGTGGAAAATAGTGGGGAAACTCTGGGAGACATTGGGGTAGGAAAACACTTCTCAAATAAGACTCCCAAAGCCCAGGCAATAATCCCTAAAATAGACAAGTGGGATTATATCAGATAAAGAAATTTCTGCACAGCAAAGGACACAGTAATTAATGTGAATCGACAACCCTCAGAATGCAAGAATACTTTTGTAAAATATGCCTCAGACAAGGGACTGATAACCAGAATATACAGGGAACTCAAATGGCTTACCCCCACCCCCCCAAAAAAAATGTCTAACCCAATTGAAAGATGAGAAAATGAGCTGAGCAAAAATCTCTCTTAGGAAGACATATGAACAGCCAAAAAACATATTAGGAAATGTCCAACATCCCTCATCATAAGGGAGATGCAGATTAATTCCACAATGAGATACAACCTAACCCCTGTCAGAATGCCAAAGATTAAAAATACAAAAAGTGATAAGGATTGGTGGGGATGTGGTGAAAGGGGAACTCTCCTACACTGTTGATGGGAATGTAAACTGGTTCAGCCCCTGTGGAAAACAATATGGAGTTTTCTCAAAGTTCTACAAATAGAACTACCATTTGATCCAGCAGTCCCACTTCTGGGTATCTACCCAAATGATAGGAGAATGTTCAGTCGCAAAAGCACTTGTGCATCAATGTTTATTGCAGTATTATTCACGATTGCTAAGACATGGAACCAACCCAAATGTCCACAAACAGATGAATGGATGGAAAAAGTGTGGCACATATACTCTTTGGAATACTATTCCATAAAAAACAAGACCTTGGCATTGTATAGAAAGGGGTTGAATATGGAAGATCTATTGCTGAGTGAAGAAAGCCAGGCTATGAAAGAAAGATATTGTATGTATCCACTTAATATATACTGACTATCTGCACTTTATAGTAGAGATAAAAATATTGGAGAACATAAAAGTAGTGAAAACAGTTATGAATGCTGAAGACAGTGTGGAATGGGGGGGAGAAGGGAAGAGTACAGAGAAGGATAGCAAGAGAAAAAATAGAGGGGCATGACATTAGTGGAACAGAGAAATGGTTTATTTTTTATTTTTTTTATTTTTTGAGAGATTTTCGCTATAGGGCGCGTGCGCTCACCAGACAGAGAGAGACATAGAGACAGAAAGCGAGAAATCACCCCCCAGGGGGGATGGTCATGCCACAATCCCTTCTCCTCCATTCTCCTCTCGGGATCTTGGGCACGCACACACACACGCCCAGCGTGAGTTCTAAGCTACCAGGTCCGGGATGCGAACCGCAGTCGACTACGTGGGAATCCAGTGACATAGCCATTACGCTAACTGCTGGTTCCCGAGAAATGGTTTATTACCTGTTGATCATAATGTGTATAGTATTCTCAGCTGGACTGATCTGAGAAGTATTTCAGGTTGGGTAAATTCTCTTTACAAGCCAAATGAAATGTAGTGGTTGAATGTAGTGGTTGAATCTTTAAAAAAAATAGTGAGAATAAATAACAATAATCTGAAAACAATAATGAAAAGCCATTTGATGATGATGATATGGATAGTAATGTCTTGGTCTTGACTGATATGCATGGTAATCATGCTGGAAAAAATTTAATACACTATAAAGATACATGTGATTAAATATAATATTAAAATGTTATAATAACAAATAAAATAAATTTCTTTAAAAATCAAAAAAGATAAAATAAAAGAGAGAAATCTTCTGTTAACAGGGCCAAGCCTCTTTAGGAAATATTGGGGTATTATATCTAATTTTATCTTCTGCTACCTGTACAACCTAAACATCCTGGTATTTTTCAGCTTATTCATAGGGGGACACTATATTTTGAGACACACTATTTGTAGAAGTCATTCAACTGTTTCTGGTATAGTAAATGAATGTAAATAAATAAATATAAATTATACATTTTTTTTAGAAATGAAGTCATTCAACTGGACATTGTCAGATACAGAGTGGGAAGTAAATACAAATTAGGAAACAAGTAAAATGTAAAATGCATACAACATATTTTCACCAATATCTGGTCACTGTGCCTATTCTTGTGAATGACCATCGCTCACTGACACTTGAAATTTATCAGTCCATAACAGAACACCTAGCTATTTGCTTACTCCAGCTATCAGTATCAGACTATACTGAAGTTACATTAGATGAAGCAGCTTTATAATGGCACAGATTAATTGAAAAGGTGATTCATTTTAAAACTGGTTAGTGACTAATATAAAAATACTAAGATTTTATGCACTATTGCACTGACTAAGAATTTGAAAGACTATGACAAGGGCAGTATGTTTGAATTTGGTTATGTAAAAAACATAAAAGAAGATAACTTTGGAAGAAGATGCTGCCTCAAATAGGATTTTTACTTAGGTAATTTCTAGATCCCAAGTATGGATCCTGCACATGTCATGAAGTCCTGATCTTGGGGGCAGAAAGGGCACTGGAGCCAGACTATAGAGGTGTGGACTGGGCCAGCCCGGCAGTGCAGAGGGTATTTTCTCAGCCATATCATTCCAACTCAGGAAAATCAAGGGTCAGAAGAACAACCTTCCCTCAACAGCTACAGAAACTAGCTTATTTGAAATGTCTACCAATGAGAAAAAAAAAGTAATGCTATCCCCTAGGAATGGATCCTGTGCTGGAGCAGGTTCCAATGGCCTCCTGAGAACCAACTATAGGCATCTCTTTCCTACTCCACCTTCCATTCAATGACATCATATTGGTAACTTGAAATTGGCCATAGTATTTATAATTTAGAAATGGGAAAATCCTATAAGTCAGACATTTTCTTCCTGAGACCTATTTTCCCAGCATACCAGTGCCCATGGGCATATGTTTATCTAGGGTAGAGGCAGACTTCTCACATGCCAGACCTTTTGAAAGTGCAGTACCTACCCAACCCTTACCTAAAGTGGACATCTATTGTTATTTACTGTCTGCAGCGTCCATATGTATCTTCTTTTGATCACAACACCTTGTTCCTTTCCTTGGTCACGAGAGTTTATTTACAAATTTCTGTTTTATTCTATAAATTTTCAGTGGGCCCACTCTATGTAGAAAGGAAAGTGGGCCACAACTATACAAATTAAATCCAAACCTGCTGCTACTTCAGAGTATTTTACTACAAAACATGAAAGAGATGATCCCACTGCCCTTATTAGCATAGATTAGAGCTACTGAGCACCTAGTGTGTGCAGGTGCTTTCAATGGATCTTCTCTAATCCTCACAGTCCTCCAGGAACTGGGTATTATCATCCTCCACTTTATACATGAGGAAACTGAGACTTGGGCTTCTAAGTGAATGACTAATGGACATACCAAGTCAGATTCCAGGCTAGAATTTGAACCCAGGTCTATGGGACTCGTAACCACTCCCCTCTTCTGTTCTTGGCCCATCATGGTAACACAGTGCTACATGGGAAGACAGAGAGTGTTTGGGGACTGCCATCCTCCTTTGCCCAGCCTCAGTCTCATTATACTTCAGACAGCATGTGATGAGAGTGCTGAGGAAAAGAGCCAGCTGACGCGTGGGATTGCCAAGCAACAGCTTATGAAACGAATTCAAACCATGGCAACCAAACAGAGCAGACCGAGCAATAGCTTCATTTCATTTACAAGAGTAAGAAGAGGGCTTTGTCAACAACCATGAGATAAATGAGAAAACTACTGGCTGTGTAAGTACAAGAAATTATCGTTATTATCACAGTCATTATTTTAAATCACACAATACCAAACAATCTATGAAAATGACCCCTTGAAACTATATACGATTAACCACATTATTATGCCACACATAAACTGCGTACATATACAATTTTGGAAAACATATATCTCTGATATCTCAAATTTCAATCAATTCCCCTTACTTAACAGAGCAATTTATTGAGGGGTGAGAGGGCTAACACATGACTACATCTCATTTAAAACTCAATTTATTTACGAAGCACCTTCTAATTAATCATGATAATGCTGTGTGCTAAGTATTATTTTTTTTCCACTCCACGGGCAGGAAAAGTATGACATGGGAATTGTAAATGAGTTTTCATGGGGTGCACACTTAATAAACCACAGATCCAGGACTCCCACCTGCACAAAAACATTTTAAGTCTCAGGCCCCTCTGAAAATTGGATCACTCTACAGCTCCTCTCCCTTGAAAAATGCACATAAAGCACCTGATACATTACAATTTGCCTGTAATTCAATGAGACTTGTGATTTCCTGTGATGTGCATCCATGCAGCCCAGCTGGAGAAAAAATATTAAGTTGCTTTAACCATGATACATAGTGCTCTCAGGGCATTTGTGTGTGTGTATGTGTGTGTGTGTGTTTTCCAGTGGTTACAGGAGTCCTCCCCAAATTAAGAGGGTTGTTAAGCTAAGAGCCCTGGAGTGTTAATAATTGCAAGCAGAGAGAATTGGCCATCACTGAGTTTTTACAAATTTTGATCTTCCCAATTATAAGCCTTCGAAATGCAATCCTGACATCCTTTGCTCACTGCACTGGCCAGGCACCCTTCCACAAGAAGTAGAAGAACCCAATGTCTCTTAGTGAACAGTTGACCCCATAGCAAGTAACTCTGTCTCTGGATGTGTTGGGCCATTTTATTCTCTTATGATCTAGACTTTGTCATCTAGCTTTAAGGAAACCTTATGGCTGTTCTAGTAATTGGAAGAATGGAGTCATCAACTGATAGTCACCACCATGCCAGTAGGGCATGTCATTTTTCTCAGAAGACCTAAAGTAGTTTGCTGAGAACTAAAACCAGGAAAACTCTCAAGTCTTTAATTAAAAAGGTCTTTAGCTTTCAACAAAGGATATCCTGATAGTTGGTGCCAGGCCTTCTATGTAAAGCTTTCAACAAAGCCTATCCTGATAGTTGGTGCCAGGCCTTCTATGAACACCATAGAGTCGCTTTTCTTCCTCCGTCTCAAAGCCCGGTCCAAAAGTTAATTGTGTGAACTTCCTGGCCTTCCAGGACATACCACCATGATATTTGGAAATGAAAAGGAACCCAAATCCAGAGAGTAGCAAGATAAAGAGATATTTTACTTAAGGCTTCAATGTAGTCTGAAATAGAGGTTGAAGTCCCCTGACCTTGAATGATATCAGTATCTCTCTGTCTCCCTCTCAGCCCTCCCTTCAGTGCGTGAGATCACTATTTACTCTGAAATGGCTGGAAGTCCCTTAGACAAACCACATATTCATCTATGCCTGTTAATAGACCAAGTCCTTATCTCTTGGTATTCAAAAGATCTAAAATCTTACAATCAAAAAGCCTTTCTTTCAATTCTAATTTCTCAGAGATTATCTGATGTCTCTTTTATGACTCAAAATTTATCTTGGGCTTTTTTATTCTATTTGTCTTTCCACTGAAATAAATCTATCCTGGAGCAGAAGCATTGCAGTGCAATGTCTTCAGCAGGGCCAGTAGTATAAGGGCAAGCTGGAGCAAGAGGTGAAAAACAAAGGTTAATAATTCACAGTATTGGGCCAGCTAGTGGTGTGATGGTGGGGGTGGCTGAGTCCCACTGGCTGACTGTGCAGTTCAAGCCCTGGACCCAGCAGCTTGAAAAACATACCAGACATGTAAGCAAGCATGCCCAATTTCCAAGAGGAGAATGGAGAAGTGATTATGGTGTGGCCACCCCTTTGGGGAGTGCTTTCTCACTTTCTCTGTCTATCTCTAGCATACATGTCCTATAGCAAAAGTAAAAAATAAAGCAAATAAATAATAAATAATTCACAGTATATCACTTTTGCTGGAAGTAATAGAAATAAGTTTTTTAATAAAGAGACATGAGTTCAAGAGAGAAAAAAAAGACCAAGGTAGATCTTAAGTGTGAGCCACTCTGCCTCTTCTCTAATTTTTCCCCCCAAAGGAAGCTTCATGTAAAACTAGATTTTCGTCTTGTTTTTATTCACACTAGATATTCCATCTCCTAGTGTGCTATCATGATCTGGAAGGTATTGGTGTACACATGCATTATGTGCATGTTCTCATTTAAATCTGTAAGATAGTGGTATTATACCCAGGAGCAGATAAGGAAATGAGAATCACAGAGAATAAATAACTTGCTTTGGGTACACAGGTAAGAATTTAAACTGGAACCTATTTTCTGCCAAGGTCTATACTAACAATCATCAGGACCTAACAAGGAGAACAATGTCTCCTTGACCTTGGCTCCTATCAGGACTAAAACAGGTAGGAAACAGCCCTGCCCTATAATGAGTACTTTACATGGAATTATCAAGGTGGTCCCAATTGAGGTGGGTCCTTTTTCCAGGTGTGACCAGAGAGCTGTGACTTGAGAAGCACATGACTCACCATTCTGGGTTAAAGATGGAGGAAAAGAGCTAAAGCTAAGGATGTGGTAGCCAATAGAAATTGAAAACAACCCTTGGTTTACAGGCAGCAGGAAAACAAGGACCTCTGTCCTATATCACCAAAGAACCAAATTCTGTCAGCAATGTGAATGAGCAGGAAATGGATTTACCTCTAGAGCTTCCAGAAAGGAACACAGCCTTCCCAACACTTTAAATGAGACCTATGTTGGACTATGTTGGACTTCTGATCCACAGAACTGTAAGTTGATAAATTTATATAATTTAAGCCTCTACATTAGTGATAGTTTGTTACGGCAGCAATAGAAAACAAGAATAGCATTTGACAAGTTCCCTAATTGATAAAGGTAGTTCTCTGTGCCAAACCAGTTCGGACAAACAATGAAGTTTAGGCTGAACACTTGCCTTCCTTCTGACAGTCAGAAATTTTGGAACATTACAGGCAGGGAGTGCCTAGTAACCAGCCCCCAATAAAAACCTTGGACACTAAGTGAATTTTCTGTGGCAAAAAGCTTGCCCCATATTAAGCATTTTTGTTCCTGGGGGAAAGTATGCTAGATGTGTCCCTCACAGGAGGAAGAGAGCATAAGGAAGCCTGTAACTGGAATCTCCAAACCCCACCTGTGTCTTTTTTTTTTAAGTTTATTTATATCTTCCATGGGTAAGTGAGACAGAGAGAGAGGTGAAAGAGAGAGAGAGAGAGAGAGGCAGCAACCCCAATATAGCCCTGATGCCTCGCTCTGCCCCCAACTTCAGCCAGCCCCAGACCATGGCTATATGCATGTCCAGCATATTCAGAGAGGTTTCTGGATGCAAATCCAGAACTTTGACATGTGGATCAACCTTGCAGAACATTTAATTTTACCACTGTGCCACCATATGTGGTTTTTAAAAACTTTTTGACAGATCTTCTTGTATATCTTTTTTTACCCATGAAACACAAACTATTGTTTTAGAAGTACTGCAGTTCACTTTTTAAATTACATAGTAACAAATTGTAGTTGTGTATATATTTATGGACTAAAAGATGTTGTTACAATATTTTAATGCAATGTGGAAAGATTATATTAAGCTAACTAATACATCTGCCAATTCAAATATTTAACATTGTTTGTGATGAGAACATTAGAAATTTACTTTTTGTAATATTGAAATATACAGAACTCAATCATTACCTATATTCACCCTGCATATTCTTTTGCTGCAATAACCCTAGCCATGAGTACAACCATTATCATTTTTGGGTTCCCCTGAGTCCTTCTAGTAAATTCATTGAAGGTGCAGGTGGTCTTTGGGACCCCCAAAATGATGAAGTATTTCAGGCTGTATTTCCAGTAGCCAGTAAGTTCCAAAGCTCACAGTAGACATGATTTTAAGGAGGCTTTCATCTCATGTCTCACTTGGAGTTGGTGAGTGATAGAAGCACGGGGCTTGGGCATGACTGGCTTCCCTGTTGCTAAGGAACAGTGGTATTTTTCCAGAGCAGGAGCAGAGTACAAACAGGAAATACCATGTACCAACACAGCAGAGGCACACTTGCTCCCTCTCCTGGTCTGTGCCTTTCAAAAGTCACAACCTGAGATGGGAACATGCCATCATTGATGAGTAGAAGTAAATGTCAGGCCACTGGCTGAGCCACCTGCTGGATGTAAAAATTCAACTCCAAAAGGCCTCCAAACCCTGTAATCTCAAGCCATTCCACTTCAGGATTTTTCATCTATTACCCATAGAAAGTTCCTGAGTGCAGAATTGTTTCAAGAAAATATCTAGGGTGACAGTGGCCCACACTCAATTGTCCTTTCCCTTTGAATGGAGACACTGAATGTGGAGGAGTATCATTTCCTACAGGAAAGTCAGAAACTCTACATGAAGTTGTAGTTTGAAATGAGTGGAGCTACCTCTCTTTTGAGCTCCCTTATATGACAAGACATCCCCAAAACAGGATCCCTTAGGTTTCTCCTGAAGTTAGAGGCCCTCCATGAAAATCTACAACTACATAAGGAAAGTGGCCAGATTGGTTTATCCATTTATTCCATCATTCCTTCATTCATGTATTGAGGCACTGAGTTAGTTTCTGTAGAATAGATCAATAAACCAGTCAGACAGGGTCCCTGCCCCCATGGAGTTCCCAGAATCAAACAAAACCCTTACATCTTGTATTGCCAAGGTCTGCCCCCTAAATAATTAATATGGAATCTGACTACTGAATTAGACAGACCTAGATTCCCAGTAGTGCCCGAGCCATATCTAAAACCCCCTATTAAAATAGGCAGGTCATGGGGAGAGATGTGAGACTTGAAGTACACATGCTCAAGATCTCTCTAGAAACAGAGCATCCTTTTTCCCTGCCCTATTCAGCCTCTTCTGAACAGTCCTTCTAAATTTTTGACAGTTCCTGTGTTAATCCTTGCTTCCCTAATGTAGAAACTAGAACTCAGTCTAGGTGAGAGGCAAGAGCCCTGGGCTCCACCAATAAGATATTCTCCATTAAGACTTTGGATCAGGAAAAAAAAAAAAAAAAAAAAAAAAGGAGGACAACTGCACAAAAAAAAAAAAAAAACAAGTGAGGACAACTGTCCAGTGAAAGTTATGTTTGGTGACAGGGTAGATCATGGCTGAGAAACACTGAGTTTTCACTTGCAGCTGTAATAGGTATCATGGTGGAATGGTTCTATATTTGGCCTCAGTTGTACCTGTTCCCACAGGATCCAGGATTGCACCAATTTCTGGCTGCCTATCCCCCAAGCCAGATTCTCTGGACTGTTGGAGGTTTCCTTGAGATACTTAGTAGCGATTTTAAATCCCTTTTCTGCTTAAAGTGGCTAAAATTGGTTCTATTACAGGAAACCAAGAGGCCTGACAGATTGAAGGAGACCTGAAAATAACCAAGGACTAATTTGTTGTTTTTCTTTGACACTGTCAACGCTGGGGATCAGGAGAATTCAAGATCAAAGACAGCTGCAGAGTAGCTAAGTCCCATGTAACTACCCACTTATAAAGTTATGTGTTTCTTTCTTTAAACCCTTTTTTATTTTTAAAATTCCTAGATCCCTCCATCCCACTAAGGCCTGAATTAATACACTCCTCTACCAAGAAGATTGAAAACATGCAAAGTGAACCCCTGCTGTTTGTTGGCATTGATGCTGCTGCATGGCCCGTGACCCCACTGGCCACTAGATGGCAGAAGAGATCATTACTTTGAACCAATTTGTTTTTCTCCACCTCCTCCACATTATCCTAAAGAAGAGAATATTTACTGAGCATTTATTGAATGTCAGGTATGGTTTTGAGGGATCAAATGTATGAAGTCATTTAACTCTAACAACAATCATGAAATAGGTACATTTCACATGTGAAGAAACCAGGCACAGCAATAACTGTCTAGCTCCATTCTTTTTTATGCTCATATCATTTCTCTATATCTATTTCCATTTATCATCTATCTATATCTACATATTAAATTATTTTCTGTATCTTTTTATTTTAAATGGATATTGTTATCAATGTAACAACATGCTCATGATTTAAAAATATTCAAATGATAATGATTAGTAAAAATAAAAAGTCCCCTTTCCTCCCTGTTCATCATCCAGTGGAACTAGTAATAACCACTGTTAACAATTTCTTGTGTTTTCTTCCATAAATTTTCTATGAATACATAAGCATGTTTTATAACTACATTTTACATACACAGAGACTGTATTCCACACACCATTCTATAGCATACTTTTCCCATATAGCATTACATCTAGGACATCAGATGTAATGCTACATGGTTAGGACCACTCTTGCCTGTGCTCACCTGTGTACTAGGGAGCAAGTAATGTCTGCTGCACTGGAGCCCCAGGTAGCAGTAAATGTGTTCCCTAGGGAACTGACAAGCTGCAGGGACTGTGGAGGTGTGATGGGATGTGGTAAATCTGTTGATAGTTCTCAGGTGGGGCTGGCCTTCACCTCCAGTACAAACTTGGACCTAGGCCTGGTCCCAGAAAAAATTCAGATTTAGGTGTAACCCATATTCACAGTGCCTTTAGGGCAGGCCTAGCTCTTTACACATTGCTATCTTTTAAATCTCATTTAATCTATATGGGATCCCCATGAAGTAGAAATTATCTGCATTTGATAGGCAATGAGGTTGAGAGTCAAGGAGAGTGTTCTTGAAGAGCCCAGTCCCTGAGTCCCAGTGGGACTGGCCATGGCCCAATACACATTGCCTGGCTTGTGGGGCTGGTCTTGGCCCAGTACACATTGCCTGGCTTGTGGGGCTGGGTTGTCTGATCATGCCCTAGGAAAGTCCTCTTGGGTCAGCACTGGACATCACCCTCTGCCTGCCCCCTTCCTGCAGGAGGGTTGAGGCAGACATCTTGGAGTTAGCAGCAGGAGTTGAGCATCAGGAATCAGGAGCCCTTAAGGACAATGCCTGGTTCCCATACAGCTAAGGGCTCCCAGGTACCTGTCCTTCCTGAGTCAGCTCTTGTTTCAATTCCTTGAAGCACTCTAGCATCCTTTCAATAAATACCCACTTTTTATGCCCTGTAATGAAGCACTCAAATAGGTTCCCTGCTGTCATGAGTGACTTAGTGTAAGAGGCCTGTCCCAGCCTTGTGGCACCTCTTTGTTCCCAGGTGGCAGATGTGGATGCTGAACATAGTGCCCAGGTTATACTAGATTTCCTTGTACACCTACAGTAGCTCCAGTACCTGGTAATGAATTGGGAGTGATAAAAATCTAAAGGACAGATTAGGCTTGCTCTATATCCTCCTCATCACAGGAATTAGTGCTAGGTTAACCTGAATGCAGACTAAGCAAGTACTTAGTTCATTAGCAGGGAAGACCCCCAGCATGTCCCCCAACAATGAGGAAGAGATCACTGGAAACATTTGATACAGGTTGAGCATCTCTAATTTGAAAATCTAAAATCCAAAATGCTACAAAATCTGAAACTTTTTGAGAGCCAACATGATGTCACAAGTGGAAAACCACATCTGACCTCATGACGGGTGGCAGTCTAAATGCAGGTGCAAATAAGTAAATGCTGGTGCAAAACACAGTTTATTCAGCAGTCCCAAGGAGTAAAAAAAAAAAGACCCTCCCAGCCACATGGATGGCTGATAGTGAAATCTCTGCTGATAGTTTAACATAAATGAACTTTGTTCTATGCATATTATTCAAAATATTGTATAAAGTTACATTTAGGCTGTATGTATAAGGTGTGTATGAAACACAAATGAATTTTGTGTTTAGTCTTGGGTCCCATCTCAAAAGTATCTTATTATGTATATATGAATATGCCAAAATTTATAAATATTTAAAATCTGAAACACTTCTGGTCTCAAGCATTTCAGATAAGGAAGACTCAACCTGTACTTACACTTGATATTCAAAGGAACAGTAAAATAATCATCATTGAAAAAAATTTAAATCTGGGCCAGCCTGTAGCCTAGTGGTTAAGGTGGCTAGATCCCACATGGCCAACCATGGGGTTAAGAATACCAGACTGGGACCAGCAGATGGTGTAATGGCTACATCACTGGACTCCCCTGTAGTCAACTGTGGTTCAAGTCCTGGACCCAGTGGCTTAAACTCACACCGGGCACGTGTGCTTGCATGCCCAAGATCCCGAGAGGAGAATGGAGAAGTAGGGATTGCAGTGTGGCCATCCCCTTTGGGGGATGATTTCTCACTTTCTATTTCTCTGTCTCTCTCTTTCTGGTGAGCTCACATGCCCTGTAGCAAAAACCTCTCCAAAAAAAAAAAAATAAATAAATATCTGCAGTTAGGATGGTATTTTTCAAAGTGGGATCCAAAAACTAGCTGCATTAAAACTGGCTGAGATGTTTACCAAAAAGCAGATTTGATTCCTGGATATCACTCCAGATCAATTAAATTAACGTGTCTCTCTCTGTCACTCTCTGGTCTAATTGAAAAAATATAATAATAGTTAAATAAAATAATTCTTTAAAAATAATAAATAAAAATGAATAATTTTAACAAGAGAACCAGACTTGGTGACTTGAGAAAAATACCAGGCACACAAACCAAAAATTCCCAAAGGGAGGGAAAAATGGAGAAGAGATTGTGGAGTGACCATGTCCTACCAAGGGTGCTTCTTTCTTGCTTCCTCTCTCTCTCTCTCTCTCTCTCCCTCTCTCTCTCTCTCTCTCCAGTGAGGGAAAGTGACTTCTGAGAATTTTTTAATTGAAAACAAAATTTTAACTTTATCATTGAATTTTGTCATAAAATACATATTTAAAATGGGAATTAGGGCACTAAATAATCTTTCAAGACTTGGAGCCTTTAAGGATCTTCATGTAGGGACCAGCAGATGGTGTAATGGTTATGTTGCTGGACTCCCACGTAGTCAACCATGGTTCAAGTCCCAGACCCAGCAGCTTGAAACTCACACCAGGCATGTGTGCATGCATGTCCAAAATCCCAAGAGGAGAATGGAGGAGAAGGGATTACAGCATGGCCATCCTCCTGACGGGGGGGCAGAGGGGTGATTTCTCGCTTTCTGTCTCTGGCAAGCACATATGCCCTATAGCAAAAATCTTTTTTTTTTTTTTTTTTTTTTTTTTTTTTTTTTTAAAAAAGTTTTTTCATTTTTTAAAAAAGGATCTTCATGTGACCCTGGGCAGAGTATCTCCATCTTTATTCTGTTGAGGACTGGCTACTCTCTAGCTGAGGAGGGAAATGAAATGAGAGTTACTACTTCTCCTGACAGGTGCTTAGGCACACCTCTGAGTATGAGATGGCTGCAAAGTAAGTGGCCGCAAGCTTCCCTTTAATTTTTTTTTTTAATTTAAGAACAGGTTTTTATTATTTTAGAAAAATCTACATTGTCAGAGAATGTACTCCCCCAATGTGGTCATGACACAATCCTTTTTCCTCCATTTGCTACCTATAAAGATTTGGGGCATGTGTGTAAACATGTTCAGTGTGTTTTTCAAACTGCCCAGGGCCAGGATTCAAACCATGTCCAGTCATGTGAGATTTGGTTCCCAATGCATAGTGTTTAACAAGAGCACAACAGCACCAGACCTTGCTCTTCAATCGTACCCATTCCTCTGCTCAGAAATATAAATTTGTCCTTGAACATTCCAGTATTAGCCTTCCAATAAATAACTGTAGAAAGTTATCACTGTTGGGACCAGAAGATGACATAGCGGTTACATTGCTGGATTACTACATGGTTGACTACAGTTTAAGTCCTGGGCCCAGTGACTTGAAAATCACACCAGGCACATGTGTGTGTGTGCCCCAGAATCCAAGAGAATGGAGAAGGAATTGCAGCATGGCCATCCCCCCAGGGAGTAATTTCTCACTTTCCCTCTCACTGTCTGTTTGTCTCTTTCTCCAGTGAGTGCATGTACCCTAAGGCAAAATCCTATTAAAAAAAAAAAAGGTATCACAGTTCCTATCCAAGGCCAACTCCCCCCACCCAACACACATTTGTGTTGCAGATCTTATCCCTACAGCCTTATCAAGGTTTTCCATCCACTATTGGATTGATCTCACCAACACGCAAACACACGTTAGCATCATTCATTCCAAAAATACTGACTGACCTCATGCATACCTTCTAGCTGAATTTCCCATTTTTCCTTCACAAAGAAATTCCTCACAATGTATTTCTATAATCACCATCTCCACTCTCCTCCTATTCTCAGCTTAAACATCTTTAATCAGGCTTTCTTGTCTAGACTCCTCATTAAATAGGTTATTGGCTCAGCTACAGCAGCACAAGCAGAAGGGCACCACTTTACAAAGCTGGGACCATGTGGGAGGCCCAGATTCAGTTCCCAGCCCAACCTAAACAGGCCAAGTGGGGCGGTACACACCTGTGATCCAGACTAGGAGGCTGAGTCAGGAAGGACCCAGTGGCATGATCCTGTCAAAAATCCCTGCCCGGGGAACCAGCAGTTAGCGTAATGGCTATGTCGCTGGACTCCCACGTAGTCGACCGCGGTTCGCGTCCCAGACCC